TGGGGGGGGGACACACGCGCCTTTTGTGGTGTTTTCTGGGAATCGATATGTGGGACTCCCCATCTCCCCCTAACAGTCTAGTGGATTAGTGTGGAAGAAGGAGTGGGGCTGGGAGCCAGGACTCCTGGGTTCTCTCCCCAGCTCTGGGAGGGGAGTGAGGTCTAGTGGTATGAGCAGAGGGGGCTGGGAGCTAGGATTCCTGGGTTCTCTCTCCAGCTCTGGGAAGGGAGTGGGGGCTAGTTGGTTGGGGCTGGGGCCCAGGACTCCTGGGTTCTGTTCCCTGCTCTGTGACCTTGGTGTCCAAGCCCCCCCCCCATGCAGTGAGGGGTGTTGTCTGGATCCCCGGGCTCTGAGAAGGGCATGTACTATGCTGGGCCGCGTGAGACTCTTACATAAGGCGGCTGCGTGCAGCTCCGAGTCCCTGCCCTGGGAATGGGGGGGGGGAACCCGGGGAGAGGGGGGACCCCAATGGGGGTAGGGGAACCTCGGGGGGGTTGGGCTGGGGAGGAGGGGGACCGGAACCAGAGGTGGTGAGAATGGGGACCTGAGGCCGACTGATGGGAGAGGATGGGACCCCGAGCTGTGGCGCAGAGCGCGGAAGGGACCCTGAGCTGTGGGGGTGCGGGGGCGAGCCCCCAAGGAGGTGCTGGGACATTGGGATGGGGGGTTAGAGGGGAGGGACCTTGTGGGACTAGGAACACGCTGACCATCCCCCGGCCGGGCCCCCCTCACCTTCAGCATCAGGGCCTGTCTCTCCTCCTCCGAACTGAGCTCCTGGCTCCGGCCGGGCGCCAGCAGCGCCCCCAGCAGCAACAGCACCCCGCACCCCACGGCCATGCCTGCTCCGTTCCCCCCTGTCCCAGACACACTGGTTCCGCCTGCCCGGGCGGCGCCGCTGGGGCTGGCGGGGCTGGGACCCCGGCCAAGAGACAGCTGATCCAAACCAGATGTGTGGGGCTGAGGTTGCCAGGCCTAGCGCCGCTGGTTGTGTGTGTGTGTGTGGGGGGTGACCCCAGTCCCTCCCCGCCGTACAGTGGGTACATGTGTCTTTGCCCAGCCCATCCCCCTGGGAGCCTGGGCCCCACATCCGTGGGTGCGGTGGCCTGTCCAATGAACGTCGAAGCATCTGCCGGTGTCCATGTGTGGACTTGCATAGCCCACGGGTGTCTTATGGCATGTACATGTCCACGGCAGTGCGGCCTTTCTCATGTGTCGTGGTGTGTCAGAGCTGCTGTCCTGTGTCCACATGTATTCGTGTGTCCCATGAATGTCACAGGGCATGCCCCGGGTCTGTGTTTGCGTGTCCCAGGCATGTCCCAGCGAGTGCCTGTATCTGTGTGTATTTGCATGTCCCATGCATGTCCCAGGGCATGTCCCGTGTCTGTGTTTGCGTGTCCCAGGCATGTCCCAGCGAGTGCCCTGTATCCGTGTGTATTTGCGTGTCCCAGACATGTCACACTGCCTGCCCTGTCTCACGGGTGTGGACAGCGCCAGGAGGTGTGTGTGGGGGAGGTTCTGGTCATGAATGGAGTGGAGGAGTGGGGTGGCCCCACGGGTCCCTGAACAACAGTGTGGGGGGGGTGTGGGGCGGGGAGTGCTGGACATGAATGTGAGGGGTGGGGGTGCAGTGGCCCTCTGTGTTCCTGAGCAGGAGACAGCTGGCTGGGGGGGGGGTAGGGTACCAAGGTGTGTGTGTGGTGGGGGTT